CAGATATTTCCATGCACAGTTGTTTTAAGTCTTCCGAATGAACATTACCCATTACATATCGACTTATTTATTGATCAATCCCACTGTGCAAAGCTTTTTTGTTGCAGTCAGTTGGTTGGTGGTGCAGTTTTATAACAAAGGAACTCGAATGAGAACTGGCAAATGTATATACAGTGCACATTCCTGATAATAACCCTCATATGTAAAACAGAAGCTCCCCACAAATCGTAATTTGTATGGTATTTAGTAGTACAAAATAAAGCACTGCCAAAAGGAATAAAAAGGTGCAAATTTCAAATTGCAAAACCTCATATCTCTTTTTTTTAATACCCACTGTACCACGAGCGCTTGCATTTGTGGAAGCAGGAAGCAGCGCCTCTCTCCTCAGTATAGTATCCAAAAGCCCCCTCGCTGGCGGCGCCACTGTGCGAAAGAAACGGCAACACATACAGTGAACACATACAGTCTCGCTCCGACGACGCCGCAGTCGACGAAGTCTCTGGCAGTGTGTGTGGAAATAAAATTCGCGCATTTGGGTTTTGATTAAGCAGAAACATTGAGCATTCAGCATTTTGATCGCAACAGCCGGCTTGCGCGGTTCGCTCGCTCCCAATCTCCATTCTCTTGCTTCTTGCTTCTTGCCTCTGCAAAAATTTATCTCTGGCTTTTTTGGCTTTTGGCTCGACGAAGACGAAGAGCTTGGGCAAAGTCAAAATCAGACAGGCGGCGGCCTCCGGCCCAGACGACCACGACGACGTTCTCAATAAATAAAATAAAAGGCCAGACCGTGTCTGGGCGGCCGCACAGTCGTTCAGTTTGCACCAAATGAGAGACAACGAAGACGGCGACAAAGAGCAATAAGACGAAAAAATGTTAAAACTGTTAAAAGTACATTCGCGTGTGTCCGTGGGTGTGTTTGTGTGGTAGTGTGCGTGTGTGTGCGGTGAACAATTTACAAAGAAAAATGCAACGGAAATGCGAAAGAAAGAAAAAGTTCAAAGCGGAACTGCAAACATATTGTGAAATTTGCGAGAGGGAGAGGAAACTATCAACGTGGTTTCTTTCGCCTGGAGCTTCTGGGGTTTTCTACAAAGAAAAAAAGGAATTGAGAAAAGAGCGAAGAACAGTACAGAGAGGCCGAGAGAATTGCTCGTCGAAGAAGAGGTTCAAGATTTATTTATAGCGCTTTGATATCACAAGGCACAGCAGCAACAACAATAAAGTGACGCAAATGTTTGAGGCGGCAGCTTTTAGGCTGGGTAACTGTGTGTGTGTGAGTACGGGCGACCACATGATTCTACATACTTCCAAATTTCCTTTTTGCCCACACGCGCCACTCACACCAGCGCGCTACACACACACACACATGGACAGTTGCCCTGCAAAAACTTTTGTCGCTCAAATATTAATTTTAGACAACATTTTTTCTGCCCCAGACACTGCACAAACACACATGCAAATGACAAATTGTCTGTGTGTTCGTGTGGCTGATCGTCTGTGAGCTGGTTTTAGCATCCATTTTATTTTATTTTTTCGCTCAGTCAGGGTTAAGGGCAGAGAAGGCGGCTTGGCTGGGGCCAAAAGCATGTGCTTGCACTGCAGCGCTGCACCAAGAGAGAAAACCAGACAGAGAGAGTATGGGCACCCACTCACACAGACATGCACTCGGGGCGGCAATTGTCGTCGTCGTCGTTACTATTTGAGGTTAGGAATGCCCCACCCAAGCAAGACACATATACATAGCAGCAGACATGGCTGCCTCGTATTATATATATGCATGTACATAGAAATGTATATATGTATATGATGTATATGTACCCTGCGACATTCGAACAGAAATTCGCAATTATTCACAAGTCGAAAAGCAAAAGCTGCTGGCGATCGCTGCCGACATCTCTGACACATCATACGCTCGCACACACACACACACACACACACAAACACCCATAAGTCCATGCGCGCACACATTTTCGAAGCGCGGCTGCTGCAAAGTTTATGAGGCGTTGTAAAAAAGAGAATTAAAAGTTTCGGCTGAGCAGGCTGTTAATTTTAACATACCAACAAAAATTGTGTGCAAAATTTTAATTTTGGTTTTATACCTCTATTTGCACATGTATGAGTTCGTGTGTGTGCGTGCTTTGGACAAAAGAGAATTCGCGAATGTAGTGGGGCGGGCACGTGTGTGTCTCTCAGCTGCTGTGTGTATATATGATATGTGTGAGTGTATGTATTTGTGAGTGATCACGCACGTAGCTTTGCTGCTTCGGCCGCCAGTGCTTCTGCTGCGTCGGTTAGTAACAGCGGAGAGAGGCGGACAGAGGGAGAGCCAGCGCGAGCACAAAACGCCGGTTCTTTTTTCGCGTTTTCTCTATCCTACTCTTTTTCATTGCTTCTTTCGAAGCGCTCTTTTGTCATTACTTCTCGGTCTCGCTCTCTTTTTCATAGCTTTTAAAGCGGTCTGTTCCAAAGGGTATATTTCTCTGCAAATTTCTTAGTCGCTCGTCTAATTTCTTAAGTCTCTACTTTTCTGTAGCTCTTTTCACGCTCCTCTTTTCTCATAAGATCGTTTCTCTTTTCGCGACGGAATGCCGTCTCTCTGTTCGCTCTTTTCTTTTTTTTTGTTCATTCCTTTTCACCGCGGATATTTCTTTTGCTTGGTTTCTTTACAGGTTTTCAAATATAGAATATCAAGGGTCTCTGCCTGCCTGGCGCGACACCAATTGCACAAAAATTTGCTTTGCTGAATGAATGTAATAATCGGCATTTTTCGCCACTGATGACGTCACGTCCTCCACTGTCTGACTGGCTGGCTGCTCTCTCTCCCTGTATCTCCCTCTCTTTTATGTAGTCATTAGCACGTAATGTCTGTGTATGGCGGCAAGAACGAGGTGTGCAAAGAAGCATATGACTAATTTGGTATTGTTATTGCATAAAATCGACAACTGGAAAGAGCTTGAGGGGCAGACATCCGCAGCAGCAACCACATCGGAGAAGAAAAAAAGAGCAAAAAAGCTTAACCATTATGTGGCGGCGTCGCATGAAGTCATCAGCAGCACCAGCACCAGCAAAAGCGGCAACAGCCTGGAAAGAGACAAGCATATGCTGCGAGAGAGAGATCGTTAACCTTTAAGCTGGACATGGGACGCGGCACAAGGTCGTTTCCTCCCGTGGTTATGGCGCATGAAATATGGTCTCGCGCGGAGAGGAGCGAAGTGGAAGCGACGCCATTTGTTGCAGCGGCAGCTACAGCAGAACAGTGTTGCCAAGCCAGCATGCACCATCTGGTCTCGTCTCGTCTCGGACCTGGGTTTGGGCTTGGCTTTATATCTCGTCCCACAACCCCAACCCACCTTCTTGAAAGTCTCCTACCATGCGCGCTAATCAGAGACCGGGGCTGGTTTTTTCACTGCAGTCAGGTACCTGAAGTAGCGCGCGTGGTGCTAGACACGAACATCTGTGTGGCATCATCGTTTCTAGGGAATACTATAAATATTCCATGTGTCTCCCATGTCTATTGTACTTCATCAGGTGCTCTGGTGTGTCCTGTAACCCGGCACATGTTGAAGTACACTCAATATGTGGCGAAGTTCGTGCGAAAAAAACAGTTCAATAGTGATTTAACTTAATCTATTATTGCGTGTTACACAGCACAAAAAAGAAGCTTAATCGTTAATAAATATTGTATGTATCATTAAATAAATGTTAAAATGTATAGACTTGTGGTTTCTCTGACAGTTTGAATGGAAAATAAGGCTCTTAGTCCTTGAGTAAACATATAAAAACCAATTAAGAAGTTTTTTGCTTCTTTGTGGATTTTTGGCCACCTGTTCTTGCTTTCCATACAGGTGGCGGTTATTCAAAATCTAAAAATAGATGGCCTTGCCGCTGTTTTGACCCAATAAACAGAAAGAATTTGAATCAATCCCGTTAATCATGTTTATCATAAATGGTTTAAATGTATGCAAAATTCCGTCAACAAAGCTTTTATTATTTAAACACCAGACAACCCTGAACAAGGCGCCAATTATAAGCTACCAGTGTGACCGTGCTGCACTATCGATTTGGTCGGTCCCGACAATCCAATTTTGAGCTTTATTGTCCTCTTACAGAGACCAAGAATGGGTATCGGAATAGAGATATATATAGGTAAAAACTTCAATTAAAATTGAATCAAAATTTCTATTTCAAAAACTTGCTAGGAAAACTGTATTTAAATATTAAATACCCAGCAACCACGGTGACCTTTTCTGGTATTTTCTGAGGTCAAAATTGAACCGATGGTATATTTTGTCAATATCATCAATCTATTAAATTTCATTTTCAAAGGTATATAGAAATCCAATAAAAGCAAGAGCTTAAATTAAGCCAGTCAAGTAGAAAATTCATTAATTAATCGGATAAAAATATGTGGGCAAGGCTGAGCGATCTAGATAGCTAGTAATATTCCACGGAATATCAAAATCGAGCAATATGGTTTCCAAGTCTTGACGAAGAACGTTTAACCTATTATAAGCCAAGGGGGTATTTCAATTTTCCACCGAAAGTAATGATCATTAAATCATTTTAGCGCAGTTCAGGTGAAAGATATCGTGGTGTTTTTTTGAAGTTCAGAGGGATAATGTCATACAATCGTTAGTATTTTCCGCCATTTACCTCAAGTAGTTGAGCTATTTAAACATAGGGGGCTTAATTGGGCTAAGTTCGGCTCCAGACGCTATATTGTTGTTCAGAAACCAAAATTGAAGCAAAACCAATCAAAGTCAAGTATTTAATAAGCCAGTCAAATAGAAAATTGATTTATTAATTGGATAAAATTATGTGGGCAGGCCTGAAGGTTCTATCAAGCTAGTAATATTCGACGGAATATCTAAAACGAGGAATATGTAAAATATAATTTGAATTCATCAGTATATTTGCGGTATATTTTTTAAATGATATGGTATATTTCTGAGGGTCAGTCACACTGCTCTAGAGGTCGACCCCGTAACTCTGTGAATTTCCAACTTTGCCGCATTCGACTCGATTTATTTGTCAAAATTTTAAACGCCGAAGCAACGCGCTATACCGCCTGCTGCCGACCGAAATTCAAAAGCTCAACGCTCGTACAGAGAGATATCGAACGGAGAAAGGACAATGCTGCGCTCCCTTGCAACGACACGAAACGAATTGGGGACCCTGCGTGCGGTGCTCCTCCGACGACCAGCCACTGCCAGCCTCCGACGCGGCGATGGCCAGATTGGAGTGCGTGCCCTCAGCACCCGACTGCTGGCCAGTGCCCGGAATCTCCAAGCAAGCAGGTACAATCATCACCACCACCTCCCACTCTTGCTGGCTGTCTCGCTCCCCCTTTCGTTGAGGTTAGAAATTGTTGTGTAATATTGCAAATGCTGCAGCAGGAGCGCACCACCAAAAGGGGGAGGCGAGTGCGGCGCAAGGGCAACGGCAGCGGCAGAGCTATCTGCTGATTGACGGTGTCCAAGTATTTAGCAATGTGTACGTGTGCGTGAGCGTGAGCGTGGGCCAGTGCGTGTCCGTCGTCGTGCCTCAAGGTCGTGCATCCGTATGATGCGTGATTGTGCTGATAATGATGAATGATAATTTGGCCAAAATTTACCGCCGAGGGTTTTTCCATATGTGTGTGTGTGCATAAACAATCAGCTGATTGAAGAGCTAGTATGAGGCACAATCAAAGGGATCTCAAAGTAAAATTCACTATCGATCTTCCACAGGTCGACTTTGAAAAGCAGCAGGCCTCAGTCGCTAAACGCCTGGAGCTATAATTTTGCCCGCAATTATGCCAGCCTGCCGGAACATCTCCGTGTGCCGCTTCCTGCCCTATCGCCAACTATGGAGCGAGGCTCCATTGTCAGCTGGGAGAAGAAGGAGGGCGACAAACTCAACGAAGGTGGGTATGCTTTTGATATACCTCCAATCCAATCCATTTATGTAAAACTCCTACTTCTCCTCTAGGTGACCTCCTTTGCGAAATTGAAACTGACAAGGCGACCATGGGCTTCGAGACACCAGAAGAAGGCTATTTGGCCAAAATCCTGATACCCGGCGGTACCAAGGATGTGCCCATCGGCCAGCTGCTGTGCATCATTGTGAACGATCAGGCCAGCGTGGCTGCTTTCAAGGATTTCAAAGATGATGCGCCTGCTGCCGCACCAGCACCAGCAGCGGCTGCAGCACCCCCACCACCAGCAGCCGCTGCCCCTGCACCAGTTGCCGCGCCACCGCCAGCAGCAGCACCCGCACCCGCACCCGCAGGTACAGCCCAGACCGCTGCCGACCAACGTGGCGACCGGGTGTATGCCAGTCCCATGGCCAAGAAACTAGCCGAAGCACAAAAGCTGCGCCTACAAGGTTGTACATCCCATATCCAACTGTCCCACATCCTGCTGTGTGCATGCACCGCTCGACTAAATGCCTCTTATCCCAGACCTAGTCCCCGTCCAAATGTTCTGTTACTAATCCCCGGCTTTTGTGTGCAGGCAAAGGCAGTGGCGTCCATGGCTCAATTAAATCCGGTGATCTTGCAGGCCAGAAGCCTGCTGCAGAAGCAAAGGCGGCACCGGCCAAGGCAGCACCAGGTGCCCGCTACAAGGACATCCCGGTGACCACCATGAGGGCGGTGATTGCCAAGCGTCTGCTGGAGTCCAAGACCCAGCTGCCCCACTACTACGTGACGGTCCAATGCCAGGTGGATAATGTAAGTAAACGATGAATCTCCTAAAAAGAGTCCTCCCACTCACAATTAACCCACTGTTGCAGCTGTTAAAGTTCCGTGCCAAGGTCAACAAGAAGTATGAGAAGCAGGGTGCCCGCGTCTCTGTTAATGATTTCATCATCAAGGCAACTGCCATAGCGAGTCTCAAAGTCCCGGAGGCCAACTCCGCCTGGATGGACTCGGTGATACGCCAGTACGATGATGTGGATGTATCTGTGGCCGTCTCCACGGACAAGGGTCTCATCACACCCATAATATTTGGAGCCGATCGCAAGGGCGTTCTGGATATCTCCAAGGATGTCAAGGAGCTGGCTGGCAAGGCGCGCGCCAATAAGTTGGCGCCACATGAATTCCAGGGCGGCACCATCTCAGTGTCCAACTTGGGCATGTTTGGTGGGACAATCTCTACCAAAATCGTCAAGAAGGAATTCTAAAATGAGGTTTCTCTTTTCAGGAGTCAACCAATTCTGTGCCGTGATCAATCCCCCGCAATCGTGCATCTTAGCTATCGGCACTACAACGAAACAGCTTGTTCTAGATCCAGATAGCCCCAAGGGGTAAGCTCCCTTATACTAAATCCGTTTTCTTGAACCATTTTATATACAATCTTTGTCTTTCAATTTCAGTTTCAAGGAAGTCAACCTGCTGACTGTCACTTTGAGTGCTGATCATCGAGTGGTGGATGGCGCTGTGGCCGCTAGATGGTTGCAACACTTCCGTGACTATATCGAGGATCCACAAAACATGATATTGTAAATCGGCCCCGGCACCAACACCCACCACAACTCCACCACAAGATTCGTAGGGACTCGCCAACGAAATAAAATTTAGATGAATGGATTCTATTCGATGTTACACGTATAAAATATTGTAAATTTTTCTATTGGTTTTTGCTGTCTTTCCTAGCATGCTGGCACTCATCTGATTTTTAGCGCTATATATATTTAAATTTTTAATTGTGTAATATTTGATGTAGTGTCCATATGAGGAAACAAAACGCAAAAACTCTTGAATGATATTCGAATTAACTCACTCTCAGAGCTGTAAATTTCCGTTTGATATACATAATATATATTAGTGTATGCTTTAATCAATTTTGTTGATCATGTCCACTATGAAAATGGAGGCTAAATAGTTGAAAGTCCAAGGACGCGTTGAAATAAACTCATAACACCTACACATACGCACGTTCTAGCCAATTCTTCAAAAGATACGAAAAGGATTTTCATTTCAAGAAGGTTAGGGAATATTTGTATACTAGTTAAATGCATAAATAGATACATCTTGTATGGGAAAAGATGCTTAGGAGGAAGATCTCTTTTGTACATCTGTTCAAAGTACATCTTCCTTGTGTTGGTGTCAGACGAGACAGCTGTAGCGGAATAAACACCAGTACCGGAAATAGGAAACAGGTAAAAAAATTTTAAATTCTAATAAAATAGGTCATTATCTGGAAGTACATAACTTGTAGTCGTGGTTGCTTTCTCTCTATGACTCTCTCTACCCAACAGCGATACCAAAAGGCAGAGATACCAATTCCGGCGCTTACATGTAATTACATAAAATCAATTAAATTACATAAACCCGGTCGCGTGCATGTAGTAAAAGAAGATTTTTAGTAATAGAATTTCTAAAACTTAATTTCAAAAGGTGAAGGAGATCATAGAGGATATTATCTTAGAAAATTAAACTGCAAACATCACTATACGATTATAAGGTTGCAAATTCAAGTACTTTCCTGATTGTAATAGTTTCTCAATTAGAATCAGTGCTGAATTGTAAATTGTTTTGAATTGAAAGAGTCGTTCAACTGAAGTAATTTTTTGATATTTTCATAAGTGGAAACAGGAAGGTATTGAGTTAAAGTAGTTGATGAAGTGTTAGGATCTAATATTTAAAGTACCTGTGCATATAGTACAGAAGATAACGTAATGGACTGCTAACTAGTTAATTGAATATACAGCCAGATAGTTCTTTGAATTGAAAACGATTTAGAATAAAATACTTTGATGAACTGAAGAAAAGGTGGTAGAGCAATTGATATGGTCGAAAAATTGTAATTTTAAATTATTTAATTGGTATTTTTACAAATATAATATCGCACAAGTAGCCGAACTACAATGAGCACAAGTATCATTTATGGACACAAATAGCATGAATCGCCAAGAAGAAATGTGATTCAGTATGGAACACTAATTGATTAGAGGGCCTACTCATAGAAGGATTCCAAAATCTACGAATCTTTAGAATCCAAAAAATATCCATCTTCCACCAAGTATCCCAAGAACCTAATTCTTCCTCCATAAAGCTTCCATCTTCGCCCAAGTATAACCAAGAAAATGCGTTTAAAATTCAGTTTTCTGTTTGGTTTATTATAGTATTATGTAACTAGTTAATTGCCAAAATGTTACGAACTAAGAAAACACATGCTGCAAGTATTTACAAATATAAGGATAAGCTAGTATCGAGTGCCACCTCTGGAATGGTTGGTTGCGAGAGAATGGTGAATGTGGATTACCACTTTGCGGGGCCCAGCTCGCTCCATTCGGACACGTACTGGGACTGCTTCTCCAGGGCGGGGAACCACTCGTTGCCGCCATAATCGATGGCTGGCAGAGAACCCTTGTAGTTGGCCGGAAGGACAGAGGGATCGAGGAACTTCTGCAGGGATTTCATGTCGCTGCCATGGAAGTGCATCTGTTTGAAAGACAAAACACGTTAAAAATCAGCCAAACGGATTAGTTATGGATCGTTTATCCTCGAGGGGCAATACTTACGCGACTGTTCAGCTTCTCTTTGACGAAGGGCTTGAAGAGCGACCAGACCATGTTGAAAATGAAGGGCTGCTTGACAAAGTGCACCTCCTTCATCCGCAGCGGCATTGCCTCTTGGATAAAGGTGAGCAGGCGCTTGGAGAAGCTTGGCGACAGGGCCTTCACCTGCTTCATGGCCAGGCCATCAAAGTCCATGATGCAGACAACACCACGCACCTGGGTCTCCTCCTCCAGCTGGGCGGCAATGTGGACCATGTAGAGCATGCGGAACATCTCATCGCTGCTGATCTCGCTGGGATTCCAGAGCTTTCCGCAGTTGACGATCAGCACACGACGTCCCTTCTGGTCGCAGTTTCTCAGGACATTGATCACGCTGCCCTTGATGAACTTCTCCTTAACCTGATCGACCAACAGGCCATGGACCAACGACGCATACTCCTTACGGAACGTGGCGGTGGTTTTCATCTGTAAAATAGAAAAAGGCAAAAGGTGGCATTGGTAGGTAGCGCAAAACTGTTAGATTAGAATCGGACGATCGATAAGGCTGGTTCTCTTCTGACCGTTGGACAGAACTATAAAATGCTTATAAAACTTCTGCGGCTTCCTATGATGATAAAAACAAAATGGCGTGAGTCGGATTTGTGGCATGATTTAGTCAGGTCTCTTGAGCTTCGGGCTCTGTATTCCCCGCAGAGCATTCATTAGCTTCAGTACATTACTCTCTACAAAAGATGTACTACATACAGATACGAGTATATGCATGCATTGAATAAATCCCATTATAAATCGAATCCGCTTATCGTTCTGTTGGCTTTTGTGTCAGCGGGTTCAAAAGCGTATCAGCAGGGAGAATTGAGAACATTGACGAGGTCTTTTCTTGTATTTAATGATCATTTGGGGATGATACGTTGTTGGTTAACATGAAGGACTGTTGAATCACTAGATCCTTTGAAGCTTTCAATTATGAAGAAAAGTGTAATGTAAGTGGAATGTAAAATTTTCTTACCACATTTTTTACCCCTGTATCTCTCTTTATTAATGAAATTCGTTGCTCTCTAGCTAATCTCGGATCTCTTTATACAGCTCCCTTTTCCCTTACCTCCCTTTCCTATAGGTTATAGACCTCATTTCAATAACTCTCGCATGTTCCATGTTTGCTGGCGATAAGGGACTTGAGACGCCCTAAAAATTCGATTTGATTATCTTTCAAATACTAATAACATCAAAATACCAAGTCACTTCGTCAGCCATATTTGTTGATAACGAGACGGGTCTTGTTTCTAAGGCGGTCAATCCACATATACGTTTGAATAAAGTATGATTAAAGCAAGAGATGCAATTGCAAGTGTATTCAATGTAGAAATGATGTGAGCAAGCATTGGGTAATCGTTTGTTTAGAGCTGTGTAGAATGCAGTTGCTAAAAGATAAGCTCTACAAGATATGAGATTAACTTAATCGAATGTATTGAAATGTCATCATCGAAGAATTTTATGAAAGGACTAGGGGGCAAGCCCCCTGCGGACTCGCCTCGCTTGTGGTCCAACACTCGGCTCACTGATATGAATAAAATATCGGACGACGACCCAAAACTCTTTTTATATAATAGAGAGACATAATCCAACACTAAAAAAAGGGGTATAAATAAATAATTAGATTTCCCCTATGGAGGATAGAGCTTCTTATCCTTAAATGTTTATCACTTTTCGCAACCAAAGAGCAAGTAAAAGCGATCCTAAATTGATTGATGATCTAATGCCGTGATGGAAGGATCTACTTCATAAGGGACTCCATTTGTGACTATAAACGGGAATAGCGTTCACTTTCAGGACACGTACCTTTTCCAAAGCGCCCTCTGGGTAGAAATGGCAGGCGCGCAGGAAAACTGTTAGAAAGGCATCGTCATCCTTGTAGTTGAGCTCGGGTGTGGCCTTCAGCAGCTCCCGCAGCTTCAGGATGGCCTCGGCTTTCACCTCCTCCGTCTCGCGCAGCTCCACTCGGGCGATTTCCACTGTCTCGGGCTTCAGATAACCCACACGCAGATTGAATGCCTCCTCGCTGATATCGCTGGCCGCCATTGTTGGTCTGGATTTGGATTTGGATGCCTAGTATTATTATGTGGGGGGGCCTGCGTGTACGATATTTTTGGTTAGTTTACATTGTTGTTTGGTGATCACTTAATGCATTTTCGAAAATTGCATCTTAATTCACTTTTGATTTGTTGGCTTTACGGAACAATCTTGTTTGAACAATCATCGGCAATTGCATCTTGATTGACTTTAAGTTGCGTACGTTTTTTTGTATGGTTTTTTGTAAGGGTTGTATTTACCTAAGTCTAGCGGTAGTATTCGTATTCGGCTGTTAACTTTTGGCGAGCTTTAGATACTTTTTTCTAGTAGTGTTCCTCGCGACTCGTGCGGTTCGAGTCAACTGAATTTCGGTTTGCATTTGGAAACCCTTGTGAGTTAACTTCTATATTATATACGCCATACATACTATATGGCGTCGTTCAGCGATACGGCTCAGCAGCGACTTGGCAGAAGCAGCAACGGAGCAGAGCAGCAGAGCAGCGGCGCGATCGAAGCAGTGCCGTCGACGTTGGGGCTTGACTTGATTCGACACGACTCCATTCCATTCCTTATCTCTTAGACGACCGTTGACTGGAAAGACAGAGAGAAAGAGCGGGTCGGGACGGCTACAAAAGGTCACCATTGCGACTGTCAATCACCTTACGCCCTTAACTAGAGAGCAGCCACTGCCCCAATTGAACCCGAACCCGAACCCGGGCTATGCTTTAGGCCAGACCTGCTACCGGCTCGGCTTTGATCGTGATTGAGGCCTGACGATGTTGAAATGTTGTTACTTGGATCTTGAACCTTACCTTAGCCTACCTCCATCTCCAAGTCCGTTCCCCCGTTCCTCAGTTTCAGCTGTTTCAGGTGTGTCGTGATAAATAAAGTAAATTTGCCAAAAATTAAGCATAAGTAAAAGCAATTACAGAGAGGCCATCCAGGCCAGCCGTGCCTGCCTATTGACAGCGGAAGCTCATATCTCATAATGCCAATAAAACATCATGCGGACGCTTCGAGGTTGACGAGGGTATTACCGTGTAGATTCTACACGGTACTCATAGAAGATTGCAATCTGGAAAATATTTCATTGGCTTAAGCCAAGCTTAAAAGTGTAGTAGCTATTACCAAATGCAATTGAGTTTTATTTCAAGGATTTCAAAATTCGGGAAAAATGTTTAAAATTTGTGAAAATAATGATCTATTTTAAGTGGAATTTTTGTTAGAAATTCATTGAATTTGTTGGAATTTCTGATCCATTTTGTTTTTCGATATGCATCTACAACACATTTCCATATTAGTTTTCTAAGTTATATCTCTAAGCTTTTCCTAATGCTTCTAT